TATATATATATATATATATATATACTAGTTAGCTTGTAAAATTAATGACATTACTTCGTATATTAATTTGAGTTACGTTTAAACTTTATAATAAGGATTCGTCACAATCAATAGAAACTGTTTGATGAAACAAAATAATGTTTTTTTTTTTTGAAGCATCTATATCTTAACATGAGAAATTGAATGAGGATTGAGGACACATACAATTGCATGTGGTCGTAATCTTGCTTAATACGATCATGTGATATATGATGTCTCGAACTTAAATTCTTGGTCTAGTTGAAACATAAAGCAAGTAGAGAGAGCGTTATGCTTATTTGACATTAAAAAAACAAAAATAAAATGAATATACATAATATAACGATATATTCAAAAATACGTGGTTCGAGTTGCCATTACCATTTAAGTAAAAAAATCCGCAAAGGGTTGTGAGGCTGAACCGGTACAAAGAATGAATCTATATATGTGCACCCACTAATGGTTCAATTCATCCCATCAAAGAAAAATTAGAATTAAATCCTACCCCATTTTGGTATACAGTCAAACTTCTCTATAACAACATCGTTTATTCCGATTATTTTTTGGATATTATAGCGAAGTGATATTATAGAGAACATCAGTGTTATCAAAGACGCGCTTAAAGTGCCCTTTTGCCCTGAAGCGAGGCTCAAAACATGTTGAGCGCTTCGCCTCGCCTTGTGGGCGCTTTAATATAGCATCAAGGCTCTAAGTCATACTATTACTTGTCAATGAGTGTAATCATGAAAAGATGACATTAAACAATTAATATTTCACTTTATCATAATTTTTTTTAAAATTTCTTTGTTCATATATTTGTTTTTTATGCTTATAATTATTAGTCTTGGACTACATATATATATTTTTACTTTTTCTCGAATTGCGTCTTTTTTCATTAAAGACCACGCTTTATTTGCGCTTTTCGCTTAAAGCCCCAACAGACCTTTGAGTTTTTTTTTGCGTTTTCGCCTTTGATAACACTGTAAAACATATATTATAACATAATATAAAAATTGATTCCGAAATAACTTGACTTTTATAGAAAAGTGTTGTTATATAAGAATGTTGTTAGAGAGAGATTTGACTGTATTTATCTTCTTTCTCACCCATTCCTCATAGTTTTTAAAATGACCAATTTGCCCCTCATTTTATTTTCTCCCTTTCTTAAGTCACATCATTCTCCTCTCCCTCATTGCTTCACATGCACTCATATTCCCATTAATACATTTGTGAACCAAGACAAAATTCTCACCCTCTTATTACCACTACTCCCCTCTCCTCAACCCCACAAAAACAAAACCTCTCTTCTCTTCTGTCCCTCTCCTTTTTTGGTCCTCCAAAATTCTTACCACTAGATATTGTACTATATTCTATCCTCTATATTTCTCAACAAAAAAAGAATCAAGATTTCAATGTAGATAGACATAACACTATAAACCTATGACATTAGTATAAATTTAGTACTCCCTTTTTTTCCCCTCACTAATGGCAACTGCAAGTGCTGCTTCTTCAACACAAATATTTCAAGAAGATGAAGATGAAGTTACAAGGAAGGGAAATTACAACAACAATAATATTAATGGAGTTAGTAGACAAGATATTCAAGCTGCCATTGCTAAAACTATTGAGCTAAGAGCTTTACATGCTGCTCTTTTACAAGGGAATAGTCCTGCATCAGCTACTGCTCTGAAATTTCCTTCTTCTGTTTCTCCTTCTTCTCATCATTCACATCATTTATCTGCTCAAGATTATCCTATTTTCACACCAGTAAGTCCCTTTTCTTCTTTTTCTTTTTCTTTTTATTGAATTTTGTTAGAGGCGTATGCGGGATTTAAAGATTCGACCTTTAAAGTTTTTACCAATATAGTTGTGTTTCGTGTTGAAAATAATGGGTTAATTTCAAAGGTAAAATCTTGCTATATTAAATGGCATGCTCATTCTAGTTTTATAGTCCATAGAAATTAAGTTTTAAGTAAATTCTCATGAGTTTTTTCTTTGGTACAAATGGGTCTCTTGTTTTGTTGTATGAAAATTGGCCTTTTTCTGAACTTTGTCTATGAAGATTGTAATTTAAACCAAAAATTGAGATTAAGGAACATAAAAGGGATATTAACAAAGTGATCATTTTAAATCACATAGATCCATTTCTCTTGATATTTCTTATCATTCTTATGGAAAAGAACTATGCTGAACTGCTTATGACAAAATTATCATTTTTTTATAAATTAATTTATTAAGGTAATAATGGGCCTTTGAGTTTTTTGGGATTCTTCCATTAATTAAAACTTCAGAAAATTTCTTATGGATTTGTTCTTTGCATTTCTTTTCAAGTTTATTGAAGTTAAGACTTATTCCTATCTGATCTATGGGATATGTGTTTGACCAAATATTAAATAAGAATACTCTTTTCATAGCTTCAAGCTTACACAATCTTATGCAGATATTGCTTCTAAATGAAGGCTTAAATGTCAAACCTGAAATAAGATAATATAATTTGTAATCCCTGAATTCAATGTACATCAAGTTCTCATATATAGCAGATTACAACTTTTAACTGTAAGGTTTATAATCCCATAACGTACAACAGTAGAGTTACTAACCTATAAATTTTAGCGACTTTACTATTACAGTTGGTCAAGTTTAGTTATGTTAATGTGACATATCATAGTAGGTAAAATTTAATGCTTTACTATTATAGTGCGTGAACTTTAGTTTTCTGACTTGTTGTTGACTGTTGTAGTGATAAAGCTCCAAAACAAGTAAGCGGACTTCTTTTTTAACTTGTCCTATGTGAAATATTATAGCTATTGCACCCGCTGAAGCAGCCATTGTTCCTTGTATAGATCAAGACTAGCTGTGATTACTCAATCACATAATGTTGCTTCTTTAGAAATGTTCAAGACTTCAGTTTTGTTTCTCCATTTTTGATGATCTTGATTCAACATTTGGTGCAGAGCTATGAAGATGAACCATTACCAGGATACAAACAACTACAGTTAGATCACAATCCAAACTATGCTGAAATTTGGGATGAATATGGCTTTGGAGTAGGAAATGGTAATAATGAAGCCATTATATCGGATTACAGAAAGGCGAGTTTGTCCTTGAGGAAAGGATTTACTAACAGTTTGATCAACTTAGAACCCCACGTTTGTCCGGCTGATGATCAGAAATCAGTCACAAGCTCGTGTACTGATCAAATCACTATGCATAGAGCTTCTCCTATTGCTCATAATTACTGCAAGTCTAGGAGAAACTCGTTAGGGGACCTAAAATCGGTTTCATCTTGCAACAAGTGTAAGCCTGCAATAATTAGTACTGAAGCTGATGGATCTAGTAAGAGTGGGAAGAACTCGAATGTTGTCGTGCCATTGTCAGATTCTCATGTTTCTGTTCAATCATCGCAGCCAAAGAGTAAAGGGCTGAACTTATCATGGCTGTTCCCTAAGCTAAAGAAGAAAAACAAGGTTGAAAGTTCACCAAACCGGACAGAATCCGAGGAGGTTTCTCAGGGTTTTAAGGATATAGGAACAGTTTCTATCGATACATTGAAGAAAGAGCTCATGGAAGCAAATGAGAGCAGAGATGCAGCGTTGATGGAAGTCTCGGAAATGAAGTCTTCTTTAGGTGACCTAAAGCAAAAGTTAGAGCATTTAGAAACTTACTGTGAGGAGCTAAAAAAGGCATTGAGGCAAGCAATTCAAGCAAAGGAGTCCCCTGTATCAGCACAGCTTAGAAATCTTTCTAAAATGGGGAAATCCATTGATGGGGACGGAGAAAATCTGATCCCGGTTAGTGAAGAGGTAATGCTAGAAGGGTTTTTACAGATAGTATCAGAATCAAGATTATCAGTGAAGCAATTCTGCAAGACTCTAATTGGACAGATTGAAGAGACAGACAATTCGTTAACCGATAACTTGAACCTTTTGCTTCAACCTTACAAACTATCTCTCAACTCAAAGTACTCGAAGGCAGCTCTATACCACATTGAATCCATCATAAACCAATCACTTTTCCAAGATTTCGAGAACTGTGTGTTCCAAAAGAATGGCTCACCGAAGCACCTAGACCCTCAACAAGAACGCCACGCTCAGTTCTCTTCCTTTGTCGCGTTGAGGAACCTAAGTTGGAATGAAGTGTTAAGAAAGGGGACAAAGTACTATAGTGAAGACTTCAGCAAGTTCTGTGATCAGAAAATGAGTTGCATTATCACAACACTTAATTGGACAAGGCCATGGCCTGAACAACTCCTCCAAGCATTCTTTGTTGCTGCTAAGTGCATTTGGTTGCTGCATTTGTTGGCGTTTTCGTTCAATCCTCCACTCGGGGTTCTACGAGTTGAAGAGAATCGAACTTTTGATATGCATTATATGGAGGACGTTTTCGCGGATAGGCAAAGATCACAAGGTTCTAGCAAGGTCAAGGTCATGGTTATGCCTGGTTTTTATGTGCATGATAGAGTACTTAGGTGTAAGGTAATATGCAGGTATAAAAATGTAGCATAATTAGGTTCTCTTCACCCCTTTTTCCTTTTCTTTTTGATTTTCTTTCTTAGTAATCTAACTTTGTAATAGTGGTTTCTTCCTGATTATTTGTTTTAAGTGAGTTCTATAAACTAGTTGCCATATTGTGATCTAAACTTCATCAAATAAATGTAGCAAATTATTATCTTCAGTTTGGAAAGAGGATTATGTTAGTGGGCCAGAAAGTGATATCTTTTGGGCTAAAGAGTTGCAAAATATTGTGTACCTTTTGGGCTGGGCTATTCAGTTAGAACCTTGTGCTTCTATCGGGAGAAATTCAAAAATAGCCAGATTTACAAGTGTTAATTGAAAAATAGCCACAATTTCAAAAGTAATCGAAATTTAGCCACTTTTCATGTAAAGATAAATCTGAACGAAAATAATGTTCAAAATCCGGAAAATATTCCAGCATAATATACTGGAGTTCGAATTTTTTACATGTGAACTTTTAGCATACTGGAACTCCATCATAATATACTGGAGTTCCAATATAATATACTGTCCAACATAATATGCTGGAAGTTCATACACAGGTGCTCCAATCTCCAGTATATTATGGTGGAACTTTTTGTGTGTTGGAGTTCCAGCATAATATGCTGGAAGTTCATACACAGATGCACCAATCTCAAGTATATTATGCTGGAACTTTCCGTGTTTCAGCAAAATAGTGGCTATTTTTCAATGACTTTGCAATCGTTGACTATTTTTCAATTACCAATCCGAAAATTGACTAGCCCGTGCTATTTTCACGCTTCTATCGCCTCATATGATTTTTAAAAAAAATAATCAAGTTTATTACTTTCCGGGCTATGCCCAATATAATCTCGAGCCTATGGAGTTAGTTTGACGGGGTCAATGTGCGATCAAGAAAATCCTACTTGGACGGAATGACCTATTATGCACTTTAGAAAGGTATCTACCAATGGTCGGCCTAAGTGGTTGAGCCTACTTAATAGCTTGTGTTCGTCCCCTCCTTTGAAAAAAAAAAAACTTATTGACTTATTGAACAGTCATTTTATTAAGTTACTTCAAATGAGATCAACACATTTCATACAAGACTATTGGTAATATGTCTATAGTTTAATGATCTTCCAAATTTTATACATGAATTATTAACTCCAAAAAATGGAGCAGCAAAGAATCAATCAATAGATACCCTTGTGATTATTGATGTTGTAGTATTATATTCGAATGACAAAAAATCTAGGCATCTAGCCAAAGATGTATGATAGTACTTCTACAACAATTGGTCCTTACTTTTCCACGTTCATGAATAATGAGTCCATAATAATTTAAAGTAAGTCCATATTGGAATATTATACGTGTCTCATAGAAAACTACTCCGCTTGCAAAAAAATAAAGATAACAACAATAATGACATATCACGACTAATTCCACAAATAAATTTGAGGAGAATAGTATACGCATACTTTATTCTAATAGTATGCAAGTAAAAAGGTTATTTTCGAAAGACTTTCGGCAAAAAGCAAAAATTAGGAAAAAATTTCAATGAAGAAAGTGCTTCTCTGTCAATATTTATACAAATCATATTGTTTTTTAGAATAAATTTGATTGAATTTTTTAAATAATTTGTACAAGAAAAAAAAAGATGCCTTTAAAAACTAGAGAAGAAGTAACAAAATAAACTTGCATTTTGACCTTTGAATATGACAAACATTGCAAAAAAGTTTATCTAGGGTAAAATAATAGTTATTGTTTAACGCGCTAAGACAATTTTTTTCACATTATTTAGATAGTAAAAGTATTTCTGTTGGAAAATTTTCAAAAATAATAAACAATAGACACTTTCTAATTTCATCGATCATTTTCTTTGGCTAATTAAGTTATTTTTTTAAATGGACGTCTATAATTTGATTTAAAATAAAATTTTACTTCACAACATGTTAAGACAGTGCTAAGTTTTTTTCCTATCTAAAGAAAATAGCATGGCGTGTGATGTGTGAGTTAGGAGAACCCATTATCTGCAAAGTTTTTAATTATGCATCAATTATTGTTGAATTTTTTTAATTATAGAAAATTATAGTGATAAAATTTGTGAATTATTAATAAACACAATATTTCAAGTTTTAATATCTCAAAATTAGGTTTTGCATATTCTTATTCACTACTTTTGCTAGCTATGAAAATTTACAAAAGTCATTCTTTTCCTAGATATTCAATAATATCTCAGATACTTTGATATTTTCACTTTAGATATTTCCACCAACACATGCACTTTTTCCATATTAAAAGGGCCCCCAAAAGCAACAACAAAAGTATCTCACCTTCTTCACTCACCGAACCTTCTACACACAAGGCATTCCACTATGTCCACGTCAGCCACTGACGTCGCCGGCGAAACCACCGGTTCCTACGACGGCGTCCTAGAAACTCCGTTTCTCGACGCGGAACGCTCCAATCTCCTTCAGCTGATAGCGGAGGAAGGCGGCTACGCGTACGTTAGCATGGCGACACTCGCAGCCGCCGGAGATATTCGAGCGGCGGAGGCGGCGAAGGAGATGGCATGGGAACAGTTACACTCAGGTCCATGGCATTCGGTTGTGCCTGTATGGAGAGATGCGTATTCCATGGCGTGTGTACACTTGGCGAAGCTTCATTATGCTTCCGGTGAGATTACTCAGGCGATTAGAGCACTTGATATGGGAATTATTATGGGAGGAATGATGCTTAGAGATGAGCTGAACCTCGCAATCAAAAAGGCGTCGAAGAAAGCGCGGAGTATGCTGTTAGCTTCCTCGGAAAATGGAGGCGAAAAAGGTGAACCCGAGATTAAATTTGTTTCTCAAGAAATTAACGTGGCGGAGGTGAGGTTCGTCACTCGCAATCTACGTTTTATTCTGTTGTTCAGCTAGGTATTAAGCTTTATTTAAGTTTAAGGGAAAAGTGTGATTTTGATAATCATTTCTACTCCCGTCCGTTTCAATAATCAAATTTTACTCCCGTCCGTTTCAATACAGAGTTTTAAGAAAAAAAGTAAGAGTTTTGAAGCTTATGGTTTTGAACATATCATAGCTATAAAAGCTTAATGGCTTATCATTAAGCAATAAATGAGATATCTAAGCTCTATTTCCAAATTTTGAAAAGATCATTCTTTGTGGGACCGACAAAAACAATTGAAACCAAGGGAGAACCTTTTTTTCTTTTGATAATCAAGGAATTTCCGAGGGGCAGTAGCCCATGGTTCAAACTCGGTGGCTAATGGGCTTGCGGCTCTACTCTCATCCACTTAAATGCCAGGGTTTTATCTGTGGGGGTTCAAACTTGTGACGTTCGCTAAGTCACACTTCACAAGTTGAGCTCTTACTACTAGACCAAAGCCCTTGGACAGAATGGATGGAGAAATTATGACTATTTTAAGTCTTTTTAGAATTTACGGAACTTTAAGAATGTATGGTTTTACTCAAGTCTTTTTTTAAAGTGCATTGCCTTGTGCTCTATTCACTTAAATCAGTGTCTATACATGTCTGCTTAGTCATAGGAATATGAGGATCATTTCACTTGAAAGTTTTTGGTGAAATTCTTGTATGACTTTGCTCTGTGTGTGTTTGTATGTGTGTGTTTTCTTCTTTTGGGAAATATGCTAATGGAGGAACTGATAGATTAGAATTGGAAGTTAGCTCATATTATCGCTGGTTTTTAAATGTGGAATAAGATCAAATTGAAATAATAGAAGGAGCAGTTCGTTTCTACACTTGTTAAGAAGAAATAAAAGGAAAAAGAAATGTTTTTATTGTAATTCTCTTAACTTCGTACTCAAGGATTCATATGTTCTCTTCATAGTTGCATTTCTCATTCCCTTTCAATGAGCTAATATAAAAATTCTCCATTTCTTTTTTATTGATCTCCGTGTTCAATCTTCAGTCATTGTTAATCCCCCTCTTTGCATTTTGCGCTATGTGACATAATATGAATAAGTAAATTGTGGAGCAAGGTAGGAAGTAATAAGATTCTTTGCTTGCTTAAGCTTTTGAAAAATGTGATTAGGAACTTTGGGTTTGTTAATCTGCTTTCTGAGTCTTCTTTGGTCAAGGAATCTACTTTCTGAATCTTACTAGCGAGATTTTCTAAATCTCATTTAGCAAATTGTAACATAAAGCATCCATTTTGGAATGCTGTTTGCATTTTGTAATTAACGGGTTTAGGTTATTCATGGTATGCCCCAATGAAGGAGTAGGATCATCTTTATATCCTTGGTTATACCAATTTTGTCTAATCGGTTGTAAAACCTCTTTAAATCTTCTGTTATAGCATTTTAGTCTATTTGTTCCAGCTGACTGTTGAACAATTTTAATGCATCTTACGAGTAATATTAATGGATACATGTTTCTAGTCTATTTGTTCTATAGCGTTAATAGTGCATTTGAGATGAGAAGTGTGGTTATTTATCTATTGTTTGACTTTGCAGGTGCAGCAGTTTTTACCTATTAAGTCACTGTCTTGTAAGACAGTAGGGAAAAGGTCAGCCTTATCGTTGGAGGCATTCCTGAGAGACCATTATTTATCAGGAATCCCGGTGATAATCAGAGATTCCATGGATCACTGGCCTGCCAAGAGTAAGTGGAATGACATGAATTACCTTAGAAGGGTTGCTGGCTTCCGTACAGTCCCTGTTGAGGTGATTACATTCACTCGTATTGTCATTTCAAGTCAATTGAACTCTATATCTAATGCATATTCCAACATTAAATTGATCAGCAGTTTCTAACCATATCAAGAAGATAAGTCCTTTTCTAAAGCAAATGCTACAAGAACATAAGTCCATATAATATGTTTTGTCCAAGTTAGAATATAGAAAGAAAATAGGAGATGAAATTAATTCACACATTGATTGCATTAGAGTTGACATCGCTCACAAGAGACTTTTTTAGTTCACACATTGATTGCATTGGGAGAGACCTGCATCTTCTAGTCTTCACTCAAAACTTGATATTGAGTTAAACCATCTTCCAGGTCGGAAAGAACTATTTGTGCCCAGAATGGAAGCAAGAGCTGATCACATTCTCTGAATTTCTTGAGAGAATCCGGTCCGATGATACTACCTCTGTGGAAACTACGTACTTAGCTCAGCATCAATTATTTGATCAAGTATCGTTTTACCTCTATATTTATTTCGTTAACACTTTTTACCTT